CCTTATGCATTGTGGGTGGGAATGTAAAATGGTATTAAAATAAAATAAATATTATTAAAATAAATATTTTCTCAGTTGAGTCACTGTGGAAAACAGTATGGCAGTCCTCAAAAAATTAAAAATAGAACTACCTATGATCTAGCAATTCCACTTCTGAGTATATACACAAAAGAAATGAAAACAGGGTCTTAAAGAAATATTTGTACATCCATGTTTATAGCAACGTTATTCACAATAGCTAAAAAGTGGAAGCAACTTTATCATCCAAATGAGCTCTCATGACCTATAGGCCCTGCTGATTCGGCAACTATTGACCCCCCTGACCTCATGTGAGAGCACTCTCCTTGCTCATTTTGTTCTAATGTCACCAGTCTTCTCATACATTAGCAGGTATATTAAACCTGCTAATCTCATTCCTGCCATAGGGCTTTTGCTCTGCTTTCCCCTTTGCCTGGAATTCTCTTCTCTATTTTCACACAGTTGGCTCCTTTTTATCATCCAGACCTAAGCTCAAATATTTTCTCTTCAGAGATCCTTCTCTAATTTTGTCTAAGGGTACCCTCTGCCACACCTTAGTCACCATCTATCATATTGCCTTGTTTAATTTATTCATAGCCCTTTACACAATGTGAAATTATCTGATATGTTTATTACTTATCCCCTTCAGCAGAATCTATACTGAATGAGAGCAAACTTTGTGTGGTTTACTACTGTATTCTCAAGGCTGACACACATAGGCATTCAGTAAACATCAGTTAAGCAAATCATTGAATTCAGCAAATATTTATTGGGTCCTCATTATGTTCCAGGCAATGTACTAGGCATGAAGCATTAACAAACTTAATGTGATCAACTTCATAATGATCTATCAGTAGGCTCTAAATCCTTTCACAAGAAGGGAGTCTTAAGGGCTACAACCTATTGCAGACCCACCTTAGAAGGAATGCAGAGCTGAGTGATGTAGAGAGGCCCTGATGACTCAGTTGAGCCCTTGTATCCAACTTCACCTAAGATTAGCATGCCCTTAGGCTTTAAAATTTCATGAACCCATAGGTTCCTCTGGGTGTAAGCAAATTTGAGCTGGGTTTCTGCCCCTTGCAAACCAGAGTTCTGATCCATAATATGTAACAGTTGTAGAGAGCCATAAACTCTGCGTGTAGTATAAATGGACTGCATGTACATATGTAAGAAGACAGCATTTTTTTTTGAGAGAGAGAGAACTGAGACAGCCAGGTATAAGTGGAACTTTTCTACATATGAAATGGAAGAATCTCCGTATTAATCTAGTGGGAGAAGAGGGAGAAAGAAAAAAAACGGAGGGAAGAGGTGATTTTGGAGACTGAGTTGCCAAATTAACCTAACCTCATAATCTCCAAATCATTAGTAAAGTTATTAAACTTACAAAATGCTTGGGTTTAAGTGGATGTGTGTGTGTGTGTGTGTGTGTGTGTGTGTGTGTGTGTGTGTGTGTGTGTGTGTGTGGTGTTGGACTTTGACCAGGTTGTGGATTTGAGCTCAGGATATGTTGGTTCAGATTTCCCAGGGACAAGGGGCCCAAGATGCTATCTCATCTATATACATGCATGTATATATTTTTTTGTATTAAAATAAATACTTTCTCAGAACACTACATTTTATTTATGTGTTAATGTGAATAGTTATGTATATACATATATAATTTTTTTATTGCACTCAGAACTTTTCTCCCAAAGCCGTTTGGCTATTTTAGAAGTTTCAGTGTATTTTATAAACTTCAGCCTGTTTTAGAAGCTCCATCCTTATGTTCTATAATTATCATGGGGCTGTTATAAGCATATCCACCTCAAATGCTTTCACAGGAAATTGTTTTCCTTCTGAAAACCTCTGAGAGGTTACAGTTCAGGCCCAATGCCAGAACCTGATATAGTAGATAATCTGAGTCAATGGTCAGTATCAACTCCACAAAGAAATGTTATGAATTTCCAACATATTGTATAATCCAACCTTTCTGAAATGACTGATGCTGTTTTAAAAGTGAGAAGGAATCACAGTGCATGCTGTGCTCCTTGGCTTGTCATCATTGTGGATAAGAAGAGAGACACTGGCCAGATCTTGGACATAGGACCAAGTCAAACAGGACCCGAGTAAAGAGTTGCTGTCTTCCATGTGGAGGGACTCATGGACCTCAGACTGGAGGATGGCAGTGCTTAGGGATGCTAGTTGCACCTGTCTCACATCCTTATTATTCAGTCCTTTGGCATTTACTGTGTGCTATAGGACATAAAATGATGGAAGGAATATGATTCCTGGAAGTGATAAAAAGCAGTAAAGACACAGGCTTTGGTCCAGTCCTAGTTTCCTTCAACTTAAACTTCTTTCTTCATTAAGCCTCAATTTCTTCCTCTGTGAAATGGTGATAATTAATACCTACTCTGTTGAGCTGACATAAGGATTAAGTACAGATAATGCATACAAAGCATTTAGCATAGGCTCAATACGTAAGAGCCTCTCAATAAGGGGAGCTATTATGTGTTATTATTATTCCCAACAGTATACCAATGAACTTATTCATTGGTGTGAATAACAAGTATATAGAAATAATGAGAGGTTACAGTAAAAACAAGCAAGATGTAGCAGAAATATCTACACAAAAACTACATTGATCATGTAGACAATTCTGTAAATGTTTTGATTTTTATTTCAGTACTGTATTTACAGTGATTCAACTGTCTAGTAGGTAAAATGAAAATTATTTGAAAAATCAAATTCTCACAATTAGCGAAGCTCTAAGAAATCATCATGATATTGATATGTTAAATGTAATAACAAATCATGATTTTATACACCACCCCCTCCACTTCTTACCTGCACTCCCCCCATGCTATCCTCTCTGCCTCATGGGAGGTAGTATGAATGTTGTGATTGACAATATGGACTTTCCAATTAGGAAGACCTAAGCTGAAACATAGGTAATTGCTAAACTTCCTGGATCTTTTTCCTTATTAAAAATGGGATACTCTAACTCACATTGTTGTAGGAATTTAGTAAGAAAATGCCCCAAGTCATAGTGGTGAAGGGTCTATTATGTACAAAGTAATTAACAAATGGTTGTTTTTGTTATTATTGAAAATTTTTCCTGCATGCTAATGAGTGACGACATTCTAACCTTTCAGTTGGCCTACTAAATAATGTACTCAAACATCTTGAAATTGTTGCTATTATCAAGATGCAGTTTATAAATAATAGATGTTCACAAATCAGGCATTGGTTAGATCAGCATTTCTCGAAACATAGTCCAAGGATGCCTGGGGGGTTCCCTAGACTCTTTCAAGAGGGTCCTTAAGACACATTCATGGGATTTGAAAGGTCAAATTCTCTTCTTAATAATACTATGACATCATTTGTTCTTCTTATTCTCATTCTCATGAGTTTTCTAGAGGCTACTTGATGTGTTACATCACAAGAGATTGAACAGAGAAGCACATATGGGGAATGAGCTGTCTTCTTTTAAGCCAGACTTCAGAGACACTTGCAAAAATATAAACAATGTCACTCTTCTCACTAAATTTTTTTTGAAATATAGTTATTTTTCATAAAAATGTCATATTAGCATGTAATTATTATTGATATTTTTAAAGGAATTAATAAAATATTTTTAAATTTCTGTTTTAATTTTTAATATGGTAAATATTGATAAGTATAACTCATGTAATTTTTAAGAATATAAGAAATCCTGAGTCCAAAATGTGTGGAAATCACTGAATTTGGTACATTATGGTCCGTGAAATATGAAATATTATGCAGTCATTAAAAAGTCAAAAATATATTTGTTGATAAGGAAAAATATTTATGATATGTTAAGTGACAATAGCAGGTTACAGAATGGAATGGTATGGTTACCCTAGTCTTGTTTAAAAGTATATGCATATGAATAGAAGATGATTCGAAGTATATATGTTTTTTAGCTTGTCTACTTTTTTTGTCTTTTCTGCATAATTATCCTGGGTTGATTTAATAATAATTTTTAAAAAAACCTTTATTTTGAAAAAAATTCAATTTACTGAAGTATCCATGGTTGCCTTATAGCAAACAGACTCATGACTCTGAAGATGTATATTTCTTCCTATATCTGACTACAATAGCCAAAGTGATTTGAAAACAGTAGAAGCTGAGTTCTAATAAATTCTACTACATATTTTTGGTATGAGGGATTTGAAGCATTTTGAAATAACAGATAAGAGCATTCACCCAAAACAACCTTGAAACTTAACAAAGTGTTTAAAAATGGACTGAACCAAATATTAATGTTCTGGAAATACAGTGTTAGGAAGGTAGAACAAGCTGTTCATAGATAGTCTCATCTCCTGTTCTGGGGATTAATTAATTAATTGATTCATACTACAAAATGGTACCTTATATTATTCTCTAATGGTATTATCCTTTTTTTTATCTTTTTTTTTTTATTTTTTATCTGAGCCATCCTGCTACCTATTGGCAGCTTAGCGGCAGCTCAGCTCGGGCCGGGCATCGAACCACTGTTGCTCAGAGCTCAAACTCTTGAGTGAGCTCTTAACCAACTGAGCCACTAATGGTATTATCCTTTATCAGCAGGATGAGATTGTGTGGGCTTTCAGAGCAGGGACAAACTCTTATAATTCTTTTGCTACAATTACAGTACCTGACAGATAATTCAGTATGTTGAAGGCACTAAGTAAACACTTGAAAGATTTAAATGTTGCATCTTTCTTTCAGAAGTATTATCCCGTTAATTAATTCTCATTCCATGTTAAACCCTTTACATATCTTGAGGTAAGTCTATAAGGAACTGTAGACTCTTAATATCAAACTGTTTAGTTATTCCTACAGTTTAAAAAACAAAAATAAGCTCTCCTCTACAATAATATATAAATGTTTATTACTTAAAAACAACACAAAACTTTCTCACTGATTAAGTAGCTGACCAATTTTGCACTCTGTGGTGCTAATTGTCTTATTTTTGTGTATTTTTCCACTTGAAACAGAAGTACAAAAGCAGATACACGACCAGACTGAGGCTATCCTGAAGAAAAGCTGATCTCCTGCATGAGCTCCTGAACTCTGATGACTTCTAGAAGAGAGAGAAATGAGACAGAAACCTGCTGGAGGGTTCAGGTTCATGATAATTAGCCGTTAGGAGGCTGTTGGAGTACCTCTGACAGGTGAAGCCCATCCTCCAAAGGGACAGTGGAGAGAAATGAGAGGTGAGGCCAGCTTCCAAATATGGATTTTTGTTGTTGTTTTTGTTGTACCATCAGAATTTGGTGATAGCTGGGTATAGGAAGAAGGAGTTGGGTTAAGCAAAAATTTCTAGCTTGGGGCACAGGAGTTATCAACAGAGTCAATGACAGAAGGAACAGGTTGAAGTGTGGCAAGGAAGTGGATATAGTGTACTCTGGTAAAGTTCAGTCTGGGACTCCTTTGGTATGTAAGTACCTAACTTCTTAGAGTTCTCTCACTGGTAATTGATAGTATCCTCCTTCAGGCCTTCCTTCCTGTTGCTCCTCGCGGGTGAAAGACATCTCTGACTCCATTTTTCCTTGATTTTATTTATGTATGTTTTCAGCATCTACTTTCTCCATCTTCCAAGACCTATAAGAAATGTTCCAAATTATCTCAGCTTCGTTGTAAGACATTTGTTTGAAAATTATATGGGAACATCTATTTGTTCAATTTAGTATGTGATCTGGGTGTCCTCTATCTCCTTTTATATTCAAAAGTTTAGGATTGTGTTTAGATTATGAGCACCTTGAAGGCAGGAAAACTGTCTTTTTTTTTTTTTTACAATTGGTATGAAAGTTTTAAAAGCAAACGGAATCATATTCCAAATCAGGGGAGCACTGCATTGAACTTTAGAACCTGGAGTTCTGGGAAATAAACTGTATGGGAATAAACTGTATGTTGTAATGGGCAGAACCCCAAAGTGAGGTGCAAAATAATCTGATTTTTGCAGTTGCCCTTCCCCTAATTAACTGTGTATATTGTTTAATCTCTTTAAGCCTCAATTCACTCAATTATAAAATTAAGCGGCAATATAATCATATAAAGCAAGCTGATGCTAATAATCATCATAATTAATATGTAATGATTACTTACATGGCAGGTACTGTGGTAAGCATGTACATTATTTCACTTTTTTAGCAGTCCTTTGATTTGGGTACTGTTTTCATTTCCTCTTTACGGATGAGAAAACTGAGGCTCAAAGAGTTAAAATAACATGCCCAGGTTCAAGAGTTAGTAACTATCTCATCTGAATTTAAATCTGATTCTATCAAACTCCCATCTTTGCCCTTATTCACTACACTACTGCTTCTAAAAATCCCTACTACTTCTTTCTGGAATTTTCATCAACAACAACAAAAATTATTATATTGAGCAGAATCATGGTGATTTCTTCCCCGATTGCCAAACTCAAGCAAGACTGCTGGAGAGCAAAAAAAAAAAAAAAAAAAGTCTTCAAAAACTTGAATGGAGCTAATGCTTGATTTCAATTGATCCTCCAACATGCAGAGACTGTAGTCCTGTACCTGGAAGGTAGACACTGCCTACATTCTTCTTAGCACTGAGGGGAGGCCAGGAATTGTAGGGATGTTTTTCAGGCTCTGTATGCTGGTGAGCTGCCACTATCCTTGCCTCTAGTTAGAGCTCACAATTCATACAGAAGAAAGTGCTGTGGACATGATGTAGACATCATAATGCTGTTCTGAAGCTTAGATGGGTGCGTTGGTGACTGAGAGCTATTGCCCTGGGAATATTTCTAAAGTGAGTCTAAGATATTACTTGTAGTTGTTGGATATTGGTTAATCATAACTACTATTAGAGAAGAGTTTCACCTCTGTGCCAAAGTTAAAAAACTACAGCTCTTGCTCCCCCCCCCCTTGCCCCTCAAATTAATTCAGGTCCCTGAGCACCTCCTAAGGGCCAGTCACGGTACTAGGTATTGGGGACATGAAGCTGAACAAGACAGTAATTGTGCCCTGAGGAGCTGCGGGGAGGAAACAGACAAATGAAAACTATAGGGTGATGAGCTCTCTGCTGAGGGAAGTACTGTGCACTGAGAGCACTGAATAGGCTGAATCTAAAAATAACTTCTTCAAGGTGGTGTTAAGTTTATGGATGAAGGTCCCTAGATAGAGGAGCCTTCCAGTTACCCATTACTGAACTATATAGTAACCCAGCACAGTGATTTTTATGCTGCTGTCTAAAAGAGAGGTGGATAGACAGATGTCGCATAAGTCCACCAAACCATACTTTCCTACAGAGGGGATCCTCTAAGGTCTTATGAACATCTATTGAGGTTTTCTATTAAGGACCATGTATTTTCAGAAATTAGGTCACAAACATTTGTGCAGAAACTCCTGACATAACAAGCCTGTAGAAATGTACCATTGTATTAGTTAGAGTAGGTTAACTGTTGTAGCAGATAGGATAACATGTCCAAACTAGATCCAGGGAAGCCTGAAGACTCTGCTCTGAGAATCAGGGATCCAGATTAATAGAGGTTTCACTATCTTTTATCCATGGTTTTCAGCGTTGCTCTGGGCATGGACATCTGGCCAGGATAAGGGGAAATAGCATGTAGGATCTTCTATAAGAGGAGTGTATGGGCTAGCTTGGCCAGGGAGTGGTACAAATCACCTCTAGTCACATTTAGTCACATTTGGTCTGTGGGCTACTGCTAAGTGACCTAGGGCAACTGGGAAAGACAATCCAGCTGTGAGCCCAGAAAGATGAGGAAATGGTTTGGTGAACAGGTAACAACTTCTGCCACAGCCATGGATATGGAGTGGAGGACCAGGCTAGAGATGCCTTTGGACACCCAATTGGAAAGAGGAAAAAGAAGAAAAAGTTGGAGGAAAGGGAACAAGATAATAACATCTACTGAAACAGTTAAAGTTCTCTTCCACCTCTCCCATGGAATAAGGCTGAGTCACAAAGCAGCAAACACCTCCAGATTTTGCAAGTGGATTTTGTAGACCGAAATCTGTAGGAAATCTGTATGTCTATATGCAATTTACAACTTCGATGTAAACTGTGAGTATTATATAGTGTATTATGATTATTATGCTTCTTATTATGACATCATACTCAAATGACATAGTTTTCAATATTTCCAGGTGTGTTGGGTACCTGGATTAAGTCACCAAGCTTTGTATAAATGGAGACATTACATTGCGTTAAAAAAAAATAAAAAAAATAAAACCTTTTTATTTTAGAAAACTTTTAGACTTATGGAAAAATTGAGAAGATAGTACAGAAAGTTCTCATATACCTAACCCCAGTCACCCCTATTATTCAAATCTTACATAAGTATGGTGAATTTGTTATAACTAATGAATCAGTTTTGATATGTTATCATTAATTGAAGTCCATACTTTATTGGGATTTCCTTAGATTTTTTTTTTTAAGATTTTATTGGGGAATTGGGGGAGGGGAACAGCATTGGGGAATTGGGGAAGGGAAACAGACAAATTGTTGTCCTTTTGTTCTTCAGTCTAGTTGTGGAGGACGTCACTTCACTGGCCCATGTTGGCATTATCATTAAGCTCTTCCCCGGTGAGGCAGATCAGATAGGTCGCCGGTCACTGGATAGCCCCTCACGGCAGCCCACTGCAGCAAGGACTGCAGTCTACGCCGTCGCCAGCGACTCACGGCCTCCTAGCTCCAGGTCTAGCCGTTGCTTACCATCTCAGGTGTAGAGGGCGCAGCGTCCACTGGCCCTCAAGTGGGATCCGAACCAGGGCCCTGCTGCTCAGAGCTGGCATCCCAAGCCAACTTTTAACCAATGTGCCACTCAACCAGCCAGGGATTTCCTTAGTTTTAACTAATGTCTTTTTTTGTGTGTGTGTGGCTCCCAGCCAGGATGCTACATTACATTAGTCATCATGTCTCCTTAGGTTCCTCTGAGCTGTGACAGTTCCTCAGACTTTCCTGGCTTTTGATGACATTGACAATTTTGAGAAGTACTGGTCAGATGTTTTATAGAGTGTCCCTCATTTGGGATTTGTCTTGTATTTTTCTCATGGTTAGACTGAGGTATTGTGTTTTGGGAGCAAGACTGCAGAAGTAAACGGCCATTTTCATCACATCGTATAAAGGGTACATGCTATCAAACATGATTTATCACCACTGATATTAGTTACTCTCTTTTCCCCTCTTTCTATACTCTGCTCTGTGGAAGGAAGTCATTAAGCACAGCCCACACTTAAGGAGTGAGGAGCTATGCTTCACCTTCTTGAAGGCAGGGTATCTACCTAAAATATCTGGAATTCTTCTGCATGGGAGATTTACATTACAGTTTTGAAAGGAGCCAGCCAAAATGCAAAAAGGCTAAATCAATACTGTCCAATAATGAAATTTTTAAATGCGTGGACATTTCTTTTATTTCTTTAAATCTTCTACTACACTTAACTCTTACTAATAATAGTAATAGCTAATATATACTGAGTTGTTAGCCAAATTAAATCTTCTTAACAACTATTAAGTAGCTACTATTACAAAAATTTTGCCAATGAGGAAATTGAGGCTTAAAGAGGTTGGATTATGAGCACTTAACATAAATTAGATAATGTTTTTCTCTTGCTTAAAAACTTAGTAGGCTCCCATTGAGATGAAAATAACAGTCTCCTAATCTTGACCTAAAGGGCCTCTATAATAGGTCCCAGCTTTTTCTCTTATTTCTTCCCCTCCACTGTGCTCCAGTCACAGGGGCCCTCTGTCTGTTCTGAACCTTAAGTTAATCTTGCCTGAGAGCCTCTGGACTTTCTGTTCCCTTAAGCGCAGATCCATGAATGTTTAGATCTCATTTGCAATCAGGTTGCAGGTCAAATCTCACCTGTTAAAAGAGGCCTTCCCTGACCATCCTATTCAAATGAACTCTCTCCTGCTCAGAATCATTCTCTATCAGTTTTCACTGTATCATTTTCTTCATAACAGTTGTCACTCTCTGGAATTATTTTGGTAATGTTTCTTACTTGCTGTCTCTCCCTCTAGGCTGTAAACTCCACGAGAATGATGTCCATGCCTGTTTTGTTCACTGCTGTGTTCCCAGAACCTAGAACAGAGCCTGGCATGGAGGGTACTTAGTAAGTATTGCTGAATAAATAAATAAATAAATAAATAAATAAATAAAAGAGTAACTTGACCCAAGTTATAAGATTAAGAACTGGTGGAGCTGCTACTCAAACTCGGTTCTTTCTGATATCAACACCAACTCATAACCATTTGCTATAAAGTCTAATAGACATTCACTAAACACTGTTGACTGGCCTCAGCAGCAATGTTCTTAGAGATCAAAGACAGGGACTCAGTAGTTCTTGATTCCATTAGTGGCCTCGTCAGGATGCCCCATTTTCAGGTTCTGTCATTTGCAACAAGCTATAAAACCCTCCAAGTCTGAGGTTTTTTTTTTTTTTTTGTCTATAAAAAGGTATAAAAATACCACTTGCCCCACATAGTTTTTGTGAGGATTAAATGAAACAAATATGTGAAAACTGCATTGAAGTCTCTAAAACATGATATAAATACAGAGCATGCCAAAAAAATGTATACACATTTTAAAAAAGGAAAAAAACTGTATTAAAATTGTAATACACAATATACCCCAATAACAAAAGATGAATACAAGTCATGTGTATACAGTTTTTTTGGCATCCCCGGTATTTGTTTTTGTCAGAAAGAAAAAGAAAAACACACATTTTCTTCCTCGGGCCATTCCCTGGAGTCTTTTCTTGTGATAAGGAAGTTATGGTGGTAAGAGAGGAGTAGCGGGTGGGAAGGAAGACACTGGGTTCTGTTTGGACAGCCTTCGAAGGTACCATGTCAAGCCTGTGGGCTGAGAATCGGGGCTGAATACAATCTTGTCACAGTGTTCAATTCAGCAGACATTGGGAGCAGAATATACCACATGTGTTTAAATTGATTTTTCTCCCCCAGGTTCTGGGGATAAACCCGCCCAAATGAAATTATTTTCCCTCAGAACTTGACCCCATTAGCGATTCACTCTGTAGTTGGAAGAAGCCTCCCTGTCCCAGAGGGCAGACATGATCACTCCCAGCAGGGACATGAAATGGGGTGTGTATATATTTGGTTTTGTGACCCTCCAGGTTTTAGTTTACCACACAGCTTCCAATGAGTAGTAGCAATGGCGTTCAAGGGTGGTGGGTTTTTGTCAGATTTCACTTGTGATTCTTTGAAGACTTCAGTATACTGAATTGTCTTAGATACTTTGTTAGAAATTCAGGGATACACAATCAAGATGGCTCACCTCTGCTTTAAATAGATGCCTAACATCTTTTCCTGTGTGTTGAAGAGGAGCGGGCAAGGTCCTTAGTGATTCTGTCCCCTTGCTTACTTTACAAAGGACACAGTGGGGTGTTTATCGAAGCTCAGGTAGCCCTTTTGTGACAGAGTTGGGACTAAAACTCAAGTCTGCTGATTCTCAGAGTGGTGCTCTGGCCACAACATACATACCAGAGTCACATTTTTACTTCTCGTTGTTGAGCTTTTGTACTTGATTCCTTATTTGTCTCATGTCACATGCGACTCTTCAAGTTCAATACTAACTTTGGTTGAAAAGTATGTGCTCGAAGAGCTCTGTTTTGTAAGCCTTTGCGTGTGTTTCCCTTTACCAACTAAAATTATTGCAAATGCTGAGGTTTGCTTGCAAAAATGTTCAGAAGTCTTTTGTAGCTGCTGAAGTGCTGGCGAGCTTGCAATTTAAGTGGAAAATATTCTGTCTATCTCTAGAAGTATTTCTCAGCTGAAAGAGGCCATGACATTTTAAAGAATGCCTTCGTATCTTTTATAAGCTTGAGTTACTAGACTTTATAAATTATTTGCTATGTAGACTCTTTTCTCCCTCATGAATCAAGAGGCTAGTATATTCTTTTAATTAAAATTTTTTAATTGTGGTAAAATGTACATAATGTAAAATTTACCATCTTATGGATTTTTAAGTATACAGTTCAATAAGATTAAATATATTCACATTACACGCAGCCAGTCTCTGAAACTTTTTCTCATCTTGCCAAACTGAAACTCTATACCCATTAAATAACAACTGCCTATTTTCCCCTCTCTTCATCCTCTGGCAAACACCTTTCTATTTTCCATCTCCATGAATTTGACAACTCTAGGTTCCTCATATAAGCGGGGTCATATGGTATTTTTTGTGTGACTGCCTTATTTTACTCAGCATAATGTCCTCAAGCATCATCCATGTTGTAGCATGTGTCAGAATTTCCCTCCTCTATAAGGCTGAATAATATTTCATTGCACATATGTACTACATTTTGTTTATTCATCTGTCAATGGACACCTGAGCCACTTTACCTCTTGGCTATTGTGAATAATGCTGCTATGAACATGGATGTACATGAGTGAACATGGGTCTTTTAAAGACATTGTTTCCAACTCTTTTGAATATATATCCTGAAGTGGAATTGCTGGATTATATAGAAATTCTATTTTTAATTTTTTGAGGAACTGCCATACTGTTTTCCATAGTGGCTCAACCAGTTTGCATTCCCACAAACAGTGAACAAGCGTTCTAATTTCTCTATATTCTCACCAACACTTTTTTTCTACTTTTTTTTTGGAAGTAGCCATCCTAGTGAATGAGTATGAGATGGTATTTCATTGTGGTATTGATTGTATTTCCCTAATGATTAGTGATGCTGAGCATCTTTCCTTATGCTTTTTTGCCATTTGTATATCATATTTGGAGAAATGTATACTCAAGTCCTCTGCCTGTTTTTTAATCTAGTTATTTTTATTATTTTTTATCTTGAGTTGTAGGAGTTCTTTTTATATTCTGGATATTAACCCGTACCAGATATATGATTTGGAAATATGTTATCCCATTCTGTAGGATGACTTTTCACTCTGTTGAGTATGTCTGATGCACAGAAGTTGTTAATTTTGGTGTAAGTCCAGTTTATGTATTTTTTCTTTTGTTGGCTATGCTTTTGGTGTTAGATCATTGCCAAATCTAATGTCATGAAGATTTCCCACTACATTTTCTAGAGGATTTAAGTTTTATTCCTTAGGTTTAGGTGTTTGATCAATTTTTTGTGAATTTTTGTAGATGGTGTAAAATAAGGTCTAATTTCATTTATTTTTTTTGCACGTGGATACCCAGTTTTCCCAAAACCATTTATGGAAGAGACTGTCCTTTCCGCCTTTGAATGATCTTGCTATCCTTGTAGAAATTATTTGGCCATATAAGTGACAGTTTATTCTTGGTCTCTCTATTTTATTTCATTGGCTTATATGTCTGCCTTATGCCATTCCACACTGTTTTGATTACTGTAGCTTTATAATAAGTTTTGAAAGCAGTAAGTGTGAGACATTTGACTTTGGTCTTTTTTTTTTAAGATTGTTTTTGGGTATTCAGAGTATATTGAGATTCAGCATGAATTTTAGGATGGAGTTTTTAATATTTGTGGAAAAATGCTGTTGGGATTTTAATACAGATTGCATTAAACCTATAGATTTCTTTGGGTGGTACTAACATCTCTACAATATTAGGTCTTCCAGTCCATGAATAAAGATTGTCTTTGCATTTATTTGTGTCTTTGTTAATTGCTTTCAGCAATATTTTGTAACTTTCCGAGTACAAGTTTTTTGCTTCTTTATTAAATTTATTCTTAGGTATTTTATTCTTTTTGGTGCTGTTGTAAATGGAGTTGTTTCCTTTTTGCATTGCTCATTGTTAATGCATAGAAATACAACTGATTTTTGCATGTTGATTTTGTATCCTGTATTATAACAGTTTGTGTGTGTGTGTGTGTGTGTGTGTGTGTGTGTGTAATCTTTTAGGTATTCTACATATAAGATCATGTTGTTTGCAAACATGGATCATTTTACTTCTTCCTTTCAATTTGGATGACTTTTATTTTTTATTTTTTTGTCTAATTGCTCTGGCTAGAACTTCCCATACTGTGTTGAATAGAACTGGTGAAAGTAGGCATCATTGTTACTAAATTAAAAAATTATCCTGTGTCAAAGGCAATAGGAAAATATAGCAAACTGATTTCAAAGGAAAACACTGAAGCTGATGAAAGTTAGAGGAATTTCTGTAGGGCTATTCAGAGGCTCTTGAGTTGCTTTTCACTCTCAGTGTGCTCCAGCCACAATCACACTCTAGACCACAATCACATGTGATGTAGGCGACGATTGCATTCAACACATACACGTATTCATGGAAGAACAAGTGCCAATATAGGCACTGAAGGTTTAGGGAACCAAGATGCAGGGTCCTTGATTTCATGGAGCTTACAGTCGCATTTTGGTGTATGAGTGTATGTGTGTGGGAGGGATAAACTACAGTATAATCAAATAAACAATAAGGACAAATTTGAAAGTGTTAAGTCCTACAGAGACCATACAACAGGGTTGTTGGATAGAGTGTGAATAGGGGGTAGTTAGGGACATTTTATCTGAAGAGGTGACACTGAAGCCATGATATAAATGAGGGAAAGGTCACAAATATGTGAACACCTGGGAACAGTGTTCAATCTAACAGACAAACCATAAGAGCATGAATCTATGGCAGAAACAGTTTGGCATGCTCACTATTTTTTTCTTACTATTCTTATCTCCAGCATTTAACTCAGTGTCTGACTCTAGTAAGCACTTAAGAAATATTTATTGAATAAGTGAGGTAGGGCATATACATGAGATGTATATGTGCATACTGTGACATGAGATGAAATGTGCATACTGTGTTATTTCTTAAACATTTGGAAAACCTGAGGTGACAGATAACCTTCCTCAACTCTCTTGTATTTTATCTCTCTGCACACAACACTGAGTTTGGTGTTGGGAATAAGGTGTGTGTTGGGACTATGACATTCACTTATTGTTTTTCTCAATTTATCGGAGCTCAGCTTTCATTCAACTAATTAAACAAATATTATTCAGCACTTACTAAGTGTCAAACACTCTGCTATGAATTTGGGATACATGTGCTAGCAAAGAGGTACAATACCTTCCCTTTTGGGGCATAAATATTATTGGGGGTCAAGATATTGCACAATTTATTGGGTTATCGGAAAAGTCATGATGTATTTTGTCT